TCAATTCCAGGAGGGGGCCCAGTCTATGGCAGTTTCGCAATCGAGCAGACCCTTGCGTTCACGTCAACACCGCAACCTACGCTAACATCAAGATACTCACCATCATTTCACTGAGAGAAGAGTCACTCCATTAACGTAATATCTACTTCCACCGCAATCTGACTCTGGCAGTTCTTGAGTTGACACGGGCGTAGCGATATGTTCGTTGCCCTAGCTTGTCGTCAAAATGGATTCTTACTAATCAAACCCTCGTTCTGGAATTGATAGTGGTGATACCCTATTAGAATTTGATCAAATTGGACTCCACCCAGTGATAGATACTTCCGTTGTTCATCCCTCAAGTATTTGCGATCCACCCACTAAATTATAGCAGAACGGCGCGATCTGGTTGAATTTCAGATCATTTCCAAGATCAAACCAGTGATAAGGAGCCGCCGCACTGTTCATCATGGTCAACAGCACGGCCATTTGCGGGCGGAGATATCGCTTAATTTGTTAGAAACTTGAATTGAGGTACAAATTTGATGATCAACAAAACTATCATGTTAGAGAAATGCTAAAAAAACCCCGATCCACTACTAATGTCGTATGCGCTATATCAAAAAAGACGTTCTGCACCTCTAGACACCGTAGACGACTTTTATTTGATTATTTGCATCCAAGTTGTGGTATACTACGTGAGCTTCCGGTTCAACCTAGGAATGAAAAAATGGTTAAAAAGGCCCATATACCGCCACAGACAGGCGAACCATCCCCGAAATGGATCCCATTCATTGGAGAACTGTGTACCCTGTACGGGGAATATGGTAAGTGGAAATAGGTCGAAAATATCAAGCTGCCACTGATGAGGTTTGTTCGAAAAGAAAATACTACTCAGAAGCCATGAGCCATGTGTAGCAACACTTAGGAAGTACAGGGAAGTGATTGTCATGTTCCTAAGAAAGTTCGAGGAGATTCAAGGTCTGGCAAAGGAGCACCTAGTTTGGAGGCCAAGCTCAACTGAATATCCGTTTCCACACAGGAGATATGGCGCCGGATGCGGCGCAACACTCAACTATCAATCAGAGGCAGGCGGTCAGAAAACAGATACAATCACCTCCACAGCCTATTTCGGACCTGGGCGTGTCGTGGCCAATGAACCAACACCAAGACCCAAACTCAGGAAATGTTCCACCTAGCCACTCACAGTCCACATCCCATCCCTTGGTGGGCCTTCCCCAAAGCACAGTGGGCACAATGAAGCAGCATACAGTGATGGTTCCATTGTTGATCCGATGCAGTTTTCCCATCAACTGCCGATGGTCCGTCCATGCACCCTTCTCAGACTCCGGCAACCCAGCAGGGTTTGGCCAATTGGGAGTTTGCTACACAGGATGCAATTTCTGACGCATATACGAATGTTGATGGCCATGAACCCGAGGTATACGTCGTTGACAACTTTTTTGATGGACTTTTCAAAGGGAATATTTAAGTGTCACGATGCTGAATTGCAGATCTCATATTGCCTGTTCCATATATAGTATCAGCTGCATTATTGTCTATCTTTTCCAGATACTACCTTGTACTCAAATTACGGTAACATGAGGTTTATCTAGCACGGAGCCTATCATTTACGAGACTCTCTTACATCGACCTGTTGGTTATTAAATGCCGCAACGGGGTGCCTCCACAAGGAAGTCTAGCTGTGACATGACCAATTTTTAGATTATATTTATTTGCGGCAGCCCTACAATGGGCTCTTGCTAGATATATACCCCCTTATACGTCATTATTTCGCCGATCCATTTCCTGGGCTCTACCTGTGTAGCAGATGTCATCTCGAGAAGACTTGGATAGAGAAAGCTATCTACCTGAGCCAACGTCTGGCTGTCCCCTAATCGTCCACGATCAGAAGGATAAATCTATATTCTTGTTCAGTCCAATGTGACGAACGAGGCACGTCTCCCCTAAAATCTTGCTGCGTTGTTCCCTATCGTCCAGCTATCAAGCCGCTGTTTGAACTCTCGCCTGACCACATAAATAGGCTGCGAGGATTAGACATGTTATGTAAAGTACAAGACCAAGGTAGATTGTGGAATTGCAAGTATAACCAGATTGGTGGGTCGGCATAAATCAATGCCTAAAAGCCAAACTTGAGCTCATTGCTGTTGGGGTCAACTAAGTGCATTTTCACCAACTAAACGGTATTGGTTGAAATTTTCGCTAGCATCAACTGCATCTGCTGTGTACTACAGTAGGTGGTACAGAGCACGAATCTAGAGTCTGAAAATTGAACAGTCTTGTCCGAAATGCAATTTCTGTTCAAGTTTTGCTGAATCCTAGAGTTAAACGGTGGTTTGCATGACATTATTTAGCTAAATGTAACTGAACATGCCCTTAATGGTTTGCAGAATTTATGTTCGCGTTGAAATATCTTTTGTTGAACAGAAGGAGTGCTTCTCGTGACCACAGGTGCTTGGGAAAGTTCAAGTGAGGTGGGCCGTGTCAAGTGGGCTGTTCACCAGACACTCTATCCATCGCTCTTCTAGTAAACATTAACTTAGTGCTGCCTAGATGCAGTTTATACCGACTTATTCAATTTCGCTTCATGTGAGCCGTTTTGGTGGAACGTGTTCTGTTTACCAGTGGCTGCATCCGCTGTTATTTTGTACTGTAAGTCTCTATCGTTCGCGAGGGGTCAGGGCAAATGAAGTCATAATCACCATCATAATTCTGTAAGACTGACGCTACAGATGTGATTTTTATCTCATTCGCCTAGACACGCCTATTGAAGAGCGCTGGGTTTGATAAAAATTGTTTACTTTCTTCACTTTCATTTTCGTATTAGCTGCGTTAACTATAGTGCTGCAGCAGTTTGCATCCCATGAGTTTAGCCGAGTTCACCTGAGCGCGATCGTTGCTAGATCCATTCCTTTGGCCACCGTGGACTAGTGCGCTGCGACGCGGTAGTTGGTATTGCAAAATTCCGAGCATGACAAACAGAGGAGCTTCTCGTATTACCTACTTATCAAATCTACTACAATGTTGTAGCAGTTGATGCCACCCGAATCTAAGCAAGTTGAAAATGGGAAGTTTTCTTTTACACACCACTGATTGTGTTAATCAGGGTACCAATGATGGTAGTCATTGTAATTTTCCTGTACAGCGGGAGACTAAAAAAATAACGAAGGTCAATTACTCCCACCATGCCTAAGTACCAGTTGAACTAGCATTGAGCTTTGTGTTGCAACATGCTGCGACTTGTCAAGTAGCGCGTAGTGAGATACAATTGAGTGAATCCCACGCTATTAGCATATTGTACGCCGGGATCCATCAGTTGAAGCTCACTCAATGTTGAACAGCTAGGGTGAATCTACCACGCAAACGAGGCCAATTCGGCTGGACCCTATTCATTTACGGTACGCTTGAGAAAAAAAGATGCTTAGGTGACTTGACTAACCGCATCTCGCTGTCGTCATACCGGTGAATCTCGTGACAATTTGCTTCTGCTAGAATTCAGGTAGAGTATTGGTAACCTGTTGAAAAGCATATTTCTGAACGAAGCAAACTGGTGACAACTGTGTTACTGCCAATAATGCTACCAACTGTGATGATCGCCGACCAATCATTCCATTTTTACCTGCGATTTCTATGACATTATCCTCCCCTCTCCTATCCTCGAGAGGCATGTGCCAGTTATATTTACTTGAATATAGCACTGACCGTACTTCGTGCTAGGTCCCGGAAACTATTATTGTCTGTAAAACCATGCTATCCACCGGATGGTCCGATGAGGAAATTATCATCGTCATTTATTATACATCCAGGGGCTTCAAGCCCTCAATTGTTGCTGAATTTCTCGCTCGGCGGCAATTCTCGCGCAGTTTGGAGTCCATTGAAACCATTATAATAGAAATCGTGAACGACAATCCAACTCTACAGGTAAAAACCGGCGTATGGGACAGCAAATATGTTGATGAGTGGATTGACGGCCTCTTTCTCGACCATCAGACAGTCAGTAGGTTGATTCAGTTCACGGAAGCCGACGCCATCATGGTTGAGGAGGTTTGATCTCGTACTTCCTAATACATGAGCTTTGCTGACTGGTTTGAAAAGTTTGAACCTCTTCATGTCATACTGGAAAATTTGAATTTGCGACCTGAAGTACCCCGATATTGGAAGAATTCACTTCTTGATATTTAACTTTCTGTATTGGCCTTGATCATACAGTGGCGCCCGTTATTGCCTTCCATGTCGGAAACACACAGATGCTCTTTTAAACCCTAATCACGTGATGCGCTAATCCAGATATGGTTGTCGCGTAAATAACAGGTTTTGTACACACAATGTAATAATACCAGTCACTTTATGATACCAGTATGAAAGATTCAAGGCGCGAGAAAAGAAGTCTGGAACTTCGAGAAGGTTCCATGCAAATCCAGCAAACCAATGCAGCGCTTGAACCTGCAATCTGTCAACAATTTTCCTCCTAAGTCTCGCAGTTGCTTCACTGTAAAGAGCCTTGCGCATCTCTAGGTGTCCATCCGGCTCACGTTGATAGGCAAGGCTCGACAGTAAGGCATTTTTTGGTAACCTCCGCATGTTGATCATCACTGCAACTTTGGATCATATGTGAGCTCGTTTTTATATGATGTCATGCCGCTGAACTGTCACTATGGCCGATCCTTGGTGCGTCGCGTTCTGTAACCCTTCCAGGTACAATGCGAATAATTATTCTGCCAGCAAGTGACATATAGACCACTCGGGGGCTACTGTACTGCTACTGGGCGGTTCGTCTAATAACCGCAGGCGGTGGAAAAAGATACTTGGCCATGATTTCAGAGTGGACTCCTAGGACACCACTATAACTAATATGACATTTGGAAAGCGGTTTGAATTTTATAGCATTCCACAAGCATGAAGCCCTATAAATTGTAACCTTTCCCTAGGCTCTTCTTTTACAAAGATATTAGGAAATATAGGAAGGTCTTTAGGCTAAAAACGAAAATTTTCGACACCTGCTATACACGAAATCCTATGAATGAAACCCGCCCTGATGCATGTCCAATAGCAAGTACGCTACCGTGAATCGCCGAACAGCGAGGCCGAAACCCAGGGGGAAGCCATAGTATCCTGTCACCTTTCATTGTTATCCACTGGTCCTGGTCGATAAAGATGTCCACGTTCACATGAGGTGTGCCCGTATCACACTTAGTAGAAATCTCGAGTGATCCCAAATTCGTCCACAAATACGAACCATCCGAAGCAAATTCAAAAACGATGGCAAGCCCTCCGACACTCAGAGTCTGTCGCAGGGCGCCCGTCGCAGTGTCCCAGAGCCGCACTGTCTGGTCGAAGGAGCCAGACGCCAGCATCCGGCCGTCGGGCGAGAAGGCCACCGAGGTAACCCAGCTTGAATGGCCCTCGAGAGTCTGTTGCAAGGCGCCCGTCGTAGCGTCCCAGAGCCGCACTGTGTGATCGGACGAGCCAGACGCCAGCATCCGGCCGTCCGGCGAGAAGGAAACCGAAATAACCGAGTTTGAATGGCCCTCGAGAATTTGTTGCAAGGCGCCCGTCGTAGCGTCCCAGAGCCGCACTGTCTGGTCCAAGGAGCCAGACGCCAGCATCCGGCCGTCGGGCGAGAAGGCCACCGAGGTAACCCAGCTTGAATGGCCCTCGAGAGTCTGTTGCAAGGCGCCCGTCGTAGCGTCCCAGAGCCGCACTGTGTGATCGGACGAGCCAGACGCCAGCATCCGGCCGTCCGGCGAGAAGGAAACCGAAATAACCGAGTTTGAATGGCCCTCGAGAATTTGTTGCAAGGCGCCCGTCGTAGCGTCCCAGAGCCGCACTGTGTGATCGGACGAGCCAGACGCCAGCATCCGGCCGTCCGGCGAGAAGGAAACCGAGCAAACCGAGTCTGAATGGCCCTCGAGAGACTGTTGCAACTCAACCGAGTCTGAATGGCCCTCGAGAGTCTGTCGCAAGGCGCCCGTCGTAGCGTCCCAGAGTCGCACTGTTTTATCGTTGGAGCCGGACGCTAGCATCCGGCCGTCCGGCGAGAAGGAAACCGAGCAAACCGAGTCTGAATGGCCCTCGAGAATCTGTTGCGAGTCGCCCGTCGTAGCGTCCCAGAGCCGCACTGTCTGGTCGAAGGAGCCAGACGCTAGCATCCGGCCGTCCGGCGAGAAGGAAACCGAATTAACCGAGCTTGAATGGCCCTCGAGAATTTGTCGCAAGGCGCCCGTCGCAGTGTCCCAGAGCCGCACTGTCTGGTCGAAGGAGCCGGACGCTAGCATCCGGCTATCGGAAGAGAAGGTCACCGACACAACCGAGTGTGAATGGCCCTCGAGAGTCTGTTGCAGGGCGCCCGTCGTAGCGTGCCAGAGCCGCACTGTGTTATCGTCGGAGCCGGACGCTAGCATTCGGCCATCGCACGAGAAGGCCACCGAGGTAACCCAGCTTGAATGGCCCTCGAGAGCCTGTTGCAAGGCGCCCGTCGTAGCGTCCCAGAGCCGCACTATGTTATCGTCAAAGCTAGACGCTAGCATCCGGCCGTCCGGCGAGAAGGAAACCGAAAGCTCAGGACTTCGAGCGACGTGAAGTCCGGACTGAGGAATTTGTCCTTTTCGAACTCCTTGCCCCAAGGCAGTTTGGGAATCATGCTTTCCGCACTGTCCACCAGCGTGCCAAACGCCCGCTGAATGGCCCTCGAGAGTCTGTTGCAAGGCGCCCGTCGTAGCGTCCCAGAGCCGCACTGTCTGGTCGAAGGAGCCAGACGCTACCATCCGGCCGTCTGGAGAGAAGGCCACCAAATCAACCAAGTCTGAATGGCCCTCGAGAGTCTGTTGCAAGGCGCCCGTCGTAGCGTCCCAGTGCCGCACTATCTTATCGTCGGAGATAGACGCTATCATCCGGCCGTCCGGCGAGAAGTAAACCGAATTAACCGAGCTTGAATGGCCCTCGAGAATTTGTTGCAAGGCGCCCGTCGTAGCGTCCCAGAGCCGCACTGTGTTATCGTTGGAGCTAGACGCCAGCATCCGGCCGTCGGGCGAGAAGGCCACCGAGGTAACCCAGCGTGAATGGCCCTCGAGAGTCTGCAACTCTGCACTCCAGCTTTCCTCAACTTGGGGTAACTGGCATGCCCAAGTAAGAAGTTCTGTTTGGAACTCTCTACGAATTATTGCCGTTCGCGGTGCAAATATCAGCCCTGAGAAATAAAGCTGGAGAGGCGTATCATCGGCTATCTGGCGATTTTTAAGAATGAAGCGCTTTGCATCATGTAGAAAATCAGACACTGCGGAACGGTGGTAGCCCTATATCTATTAGTACATGAATATATCAGTATGGTCATAGAAGTGACTTACATCAATCAGGTCCTGCAACTCGTTTATTAGCCTGATGCTCTCCGATATCCTCCCCATGAGGCTCAAAGCTTCAAGCCAGTGGAGGAAGTGGCTCTGAAGGAATTGGAGCGCTTGGTGTTCATCATGAAGCGTGACTCCGCTACCCTTCAAGTGATGCACCCAGTAAAGGCACGCATATCGAGCCTCTGGTGGCAGGCACCGGTCAATCGTTTGTTGGTCGACGATAGTACGAGGTTTCCCAGGTGCTCCCAGTCCACAGATGTCCTTTTTTAGATAGCCACCTTCGGAGAGCAGCCGAAAACATCTGTCTGCAAGCATCTCGTGCGTGGCTTTCTCATCGACCCAGAACTCGTGGACGTCTTCCGGGTCAGGACGGATGAGGAAGTCTCGGAACGATTCGTGGAATATTCTCACAGGACTAGTAGTATCGGATGGGACGTCCAGTACAGAGTGAAGGAGTTGCAGTCTATTATTGACGCATTCAGCGGAAGTGCCGAGGAGGCTCGCCAGTGGCGCAGGAGCAAGAGGATTTGTGAGGGTGACTATCGAGCCCACAATTTGTTTAAACTCGCTAACTGAATTGCGACGAGCGGAGCCCTTAATTCCGTGAATCATTTGTGTCAGGGCAGGCAGGTATGTTTGGTCGAAGTTCCCACGGGCCTCATATTGGAGTATCTTCTGAAGCCGATCGTCCGGCCCGCCGCCTCCTTGTCGATAGTCTTCGACGAAGCGGCAGGCAGTAGCCGCGAAGATGAATAGTGGGATGGATTTCCTTAGGAGGTTTTCGAACTGTGTTACGTCCGGCCAACTAGAGGCAATACCGAATTGGCGCCGAATCTCGTCGAATCGAAACCTTAGAAAGGTTGCGATGTCTCGTTCGATTATGGGCTGCGGGATCTCGTGAATAGGAAACTCAATGAATTTGCCTTGAGACTCCTGGAACCCTAGACGAATCGGAGGCTCAAACCTGCTAGTGACGAAGAACTTCAAGGGCGCTACTACCGGACGATCCTTCTGCAGCAGTAACTTAATAACCGCCGTGACGTCCTGGTCTCCCTCGCACTCATCGAGAGCATCGATCACGACCGTCATGGTCCTAGAAACGCTATGTGGGGCCTCCACTGGCTCTAGGATGAGTTTCCTGAACTGATCTCCTAGCGCCCTTTCGGCGATATTAGGGTCAGTTTCGATGGCGTTTCGCACATACTTAGCCACCGCAGGCAGACTCTGGACGAGTTGGGCTGCAATAGTCGTGAAGAAGAGCCGGGCGGTACCGCGATCGGATTCGCCCCTCTTAAAGAAGAAGCTGGCCGCGAGACGATCCCGGGCGGCAAGGTCACGGGCCACGGTACGAGCGATTGTTGACTTGCCGGTGCCGGCTTTCCCTTGAAGCCAGTATATATGCTCGGGAGTCATTAGGCCGTCAGCCCATTGGTTGATCTCGTCGAGCAGCTCATGGCGCGTGTTTTCGAGGCAAGTCGCGACGTGTTCGTTCGCATGGGAGTTGAACGCGGCGCCTTCCACCGTGCGTAGTTTGCCGACGACAAACTTCTGGTTGCCGTTCAGTGTCGGGGTGGTAGTTCTGTCTCAGTTAGCCGGCGTGTCTGTAAATAGAGTGGGTTGACGTACGGCCTAAGCCTATGCAGCTGTCGATGGAGCTCTGTATATAACCGATCATTCCGGTTCCCGCACTTATTCAGTCCAGAGTGGTCCGTATCGATAAAGACAGTTAATGCAGCATGGCCGCCGCGGGCCGAGTCCGTGGGGACAATCTATGGGATATCAGAGAGATTCCACGCGAGGACAGCAGCACCTACCAGGCCGACAGATAGCCATCCTAGCACGCGTGTAGGCTTCGTTTCGCAGAACGCTACGATCTCGGTCTTCTGTCGTCGACCCTCTTTCTCCTTCATGCACTCAACAAAACGTACGTCTAAGTCGGAGAGCCGTTCCCGATGACTCGTCAGGGAGAGGAGCAGCCCTGTGTTCGACCCGAAAAAGCCGGTCACACGAGCTACAACGGTCCCGAGACGCGATACAGGTGACCCTTGGTGAGGCGTCCCGAGGAAAACGATGCCGCAAGTGCTGTCGACGACGTCCCGCGCGGCGTCCTTGGGATTGCACAAGGCCTGCAGAAGGTTTAGGTCTGCATGTAGGGGAATGGTGTCGCGGCATACCTCTTTTATGATGATGCCCCCGAAACTATGGCCGATGAAGACGATCGGAACGCACTGTTGCCTCTGTTAGCCGTGTTCTCTTCAGATTTTGCAGTCCTCACCTGATGTTTCGACCGATGCTTCCCCAGCTCTTTCAGCAAGCGGTCGCCGATCTGCTGCGCTGACTTGACCGGGGCATCGATCAACCAGTCGGAGTTGTGGGCAAAGGCCATTATTCTCGCGTTCGGGAAGTCATCTTTGAAGAGATCTCTCAACAGGTGGACGCGGTCTCGGTCTGCGTCTTCCGAGTCGGTCGGGCTCGAAGGGCCACTTGTCCAAGTGTATTCCGGATATGCCCCAAGGCCGTGGACGGCGACAATCCTATAGCCATTAGCTCGAACGTCGCGGTGTGCATGGCGGCTCTTACTCGAAAGCGGCATGCTTAGGATCGGAAACAATATAAAGACCGTCCGGGCGGTCCGTCCTTCCACGACGACGAATCTTGCCAAAGATAGGGTAGAGAAGGAAGCTGAGAAGCACGACCAAGGTAGTACACAACGCTAGGCCGTTCATGGCGTACTCCTTAGACACTGATCTCGGCTCTATGGCGGGGTTACGCGGAGCACCCGGTTTGAAGTATCACACTGCGCACGCCACTCGTTCTGAATAGATTCACACACAAGGCCGAAGACGTGGCATCCCCTAGGGTGCTTCCTTCCATCTGTGCAGTAGGTGCGGGGAATCAATTGAGAGCAGCCCTCAGCTTCATCGATCCAACACTTAGCCGCCAGCCTGACCCACTGGTCATACCCAATCAGAGTGCAGGAGGCCCGTGGCGGCGCGAAGTGCGTTGGGCTGTGTCGACCTACCAACGGCGAATATACATATCGATACTGAGCGAGAGACAACTTGACGGAGCCGAAACAAACGAGTCGGCGAGATGTCGGACGACGATCAAAACGGCGTCCATACGGAGGAGCAACGGGGCCGCGTCCGTTTATACTGCCATCACGAGTCTGGACATGGTGAGCTAACAGCTTTGCGCAGACGTGCCCCTTCCTCGTCGAGCCGCTGAACAGTGACGACACGTCAACACCCAACGACTACCCGCTCCGTCCACTCTTCCCAGCCTCCTACCGTACCGTGTCGGATGATTTAGCTGCTTCCACAAGGGACATCGCGGCCTGCGTTCAGAGGGAATTCGACTTGCACAGGCTCCATATCATCTTCAGCTGGCTGTGGATCGTCGCTCGCCCGATGCCGCCGCGTCCGCTGCACCATCAGCTCCTCCTCTCGCGGGACATATTCATCACGGAGCGAATAGATATGCATCTCGTCTGGACCGCCGGACGGATATTCATCAAACCGATTCCGCGCTTCCTCCTTGTGCCACGCTTCTGGTCCGACCATCTCTCCTGTCTGCCCGGTTGCGCCTGCGCTTGCGTGCTAGCTAGCTCGGCTGGATATACGCCTGCGGGCGATGGTATATGCGACCGTAGGAGGCTGTGGAAGTCAGCACTCGGGTTCCTGTTCTCCTATGCCGCCCTGGTCTCCCATGAGAGCGACTTCGTGATCGCCAGAGATAAACAATTGATACCCACGGAGGTAACTTGGTCGGACTGGACGATCCTTGTTGAGCAGGTCCTCGCTACGGATCATATATACCATAACATCCACGCGCGATTCATCTACGGTGAGCTCCGTCTGAGTCGGCTCAACAAGATATACTCTCTCACCCAGCCACCGTTCCTGCGCGGTTACATGTCGCAGTGGCATCGATACAGCGACTTCTTCCAAGACAACCTCGCCTGGCTGGCGGCTGCTACGGTCTATATCGTCGTCGTCCTGACCGCCATGCAGGTTGGCCTGGCGACAAACTCCCTCGCTGGAAACCACGTCTTCCAATCGGCGTCTTATGGATTTGTAGTCTTCTCCATTCTTGGCCCTCTCGTCGCCCTTGGCCTCATCGTCCTTGAGTTCTGCTGTATATTTCTTAATAACTGGATCATTTCAGTGGCGTACGAAAAAACAAGGTTCCAGACCATCCAGGCAGCGCAGGGAGCATAATAGAGCCCAGCTCCTCCAGGCAAAAGCCTGCGACTGGTGAACAACGAACATGGCGCCGACGTGTGGTGAGATGATCGCAATAGGCTCCTGTCGTCTACATACGTCGTTTCGTACGATAATGCTTCATGTGCGAGGTGACCACTATGTCTGTTGTCGTTATCACGTGACATGCCTATAATGAGGTTCGGCACGTTTGGTGCTAGATGATGATAGTAATATGCTGAACTCATCCCATAGGAAAATAGCCACCTCTTCGACACATAGGCCGGGCTGTTCAGCGAGGTGGTCACAGGGGGCGTCGAGCATCATAGGATCATAGGAGTAATGTTTAGTGGTCGGCCGGCAGGGATTAGGGGAGATCTAGGACTACCGAACAACCGCAAGTTCTTGCGTACATTAGTGATAGAATGCTCACTACACTTGGCGACCTTGGCCATTTGAGACGTGGTGAGCCTATGCTTGCTATGTATCATATGGATAATGATCTCACGTTGCCAGAAATCGAGATTTCGTGCCATTTTGCGGTGGGTTGAGATGTTGTTGATGCTTGAGTCAGGAGGCTTGAGTTTGGACATGGCGCGTGTGTTTCATTTTGGAACCGTAGCAATACACGCCGATACAGCTTAATCATCTTTTTACGGGTTTAGTATTTTACCATTCAAGGCCGGAACAGATCTTCAAATACGGTAATAACCATATTGGGTTTAGCGTATCATGTGATTAGGGTTTGAAAGAGCCTCTCCATGTTCCCCGACATGGAAGGCAATAACGGTCGCGACTGTACAGTATGATGCATCGTCTCGCAAATGCATTCTCTCACTATCTGCAGATAAATTGCAGTCTACACAGAACGGCTACGATCAGCCGTCTTTCGTACTATAGTATAGCATTTAAAACGGCAGCTTGGGGTGTGCGACTTGTCAAAGATATGTACCGTACATATTTGACTGACAATTTTGAATATTATACTATACAGTACAGTAAATAGCATCAATATTCAAGTTGATTGTGTTTTTGAGGTTGCATCTGTAAAAATTGCTTTCATCCATCTGAAATGGTGGTTCTCTGGTCTCACAATTCGACGTGAACTTGTTGTCATTATTGTGCGATTTGTGCTCAGCATATATTTGTAGGAAGCACCTGGTGGCCACATCTTATGTAGGTGGGTTTGTGCATGCGAGGGAAATTTTCCGTCGATCTGAAGTTCCTGGACATACTCTTCTCTCGTATACAGTACAATCAACTATAAATGACGGAATAGCGTCTATAACGAGGACTCCGCAATTCACACACTTTTGCACAGACTTGGCGACCTTGGCCAATATCCACAGCTACTGTACCACATCGCCCTGTCGGAGTGTCCATCTGTACAGTGGGTCTGGGATCACCTTTGGAAGGTGCCGCCATGGTTTTGCCCCGTTGAAAGGCAGAGAAGATAAGATGCCGCTGGTTGAGGAATACGCTCTTGGATGCAATTTTCGATCAAGTCTACTATGTCCACTACGTTCAAGCAGCAGTTTAGACCACATGAATATAGAATAGCGCTTACCGAACATTGTCTGGTTGAGCGTAAGTTTTTTCATGTTCAGCCTTGATAGAATAGACGGTGATATAGCTGCAATCACTATTTTAGTTGTCTAGCTACGTTTACCTGATGCAAGCTTTGTTAGATACCACTGTGTAGTTCAACATTAAATATCTAGTACGACGCCACCATACGTGTTGGTTGGCATTACAAGTCTAGCCAAGTTCACCAGACCTTAAGAATACTAGAAGTTTCACTTCTGTTTCTCTTTTTCTTTTCTACAACAGCAATACTGCATTTAGCGTCATGCAGGACTAGCGAGGTCCACCTAGAACGTATCCAAGTTCGATTCGGTTGAACATAGCTATCTTAGGAGCGATACAGTTAGCACCGCTCAAGTCTAGCCTAGTTCAGCCAACAAAGTCTATGTTGAGCACACCGGGTTTTTCCCATCCTTGACTACATTCTAGCACTACAAGGCCGCAGTTGGCATTCCGCACGTCTACAGGACACCCATTGAACAGTACCGTGTTGGATGCAATATGAGGCTATACTTCCGAAATAAGAAGCAGTTTTAACAAAGTTGGCGTTACACAAAATTATGTTGAGATATTCCTCTTACAAATATAGTTTAAAGGCACACTCGAGAAAGAATCTTCGTCTTAAACAAAAGGATAGTCAATCCCTCCATGACGAGACCAAGTAATATCACGCGCTCGGAGGAAAGAATGAAATGTCGAGAGGTACTGTGCGAGCATATCCGTAAGAGCCGCTATAGTCCTTCCCTGCGAATCTTTAATACGGACTGCTAATTACCCAACAGGGAGAAACCTCGGAATCAGTGTAAAGACCGTGCATCTCCGACTCAAACCAAAACCACATGACAAATATCACTGGAAACTAATAGAACCATACAACGACGATATCTTGAAATTGTTTCAAAATGGTCCGAACCAAATTCCTTTCAGCGGGCTTCCTAAGCGTGCACATGAGACTCTCCAGCGCTACGTCGGGTGCAAGTTCGAGGCGCTCGCCAACGAAACTTTTCTGTCTACAGAAGTACCTGATCAGGTAATTTCCAGGTCTTACAAAAGTATTGAAAGGATTAAATTTGATTTGATTGAATAGGATGGTTTACTGTGGCGACAATCTGATTCTGTCTTCACGGAAAAAATTGCTGTATTGGAAGCTAAGCAAGCAGAACTTGAAGACGAAAATGGTGAGCTAAAAGCAAATATAGAATTTCTCGAAGACAGAAAACGCACAACCGAGGAGACTTTGGCACGGGAACGGGGCGCCTGGGATACAGAACGAGGAGAACATTTCCAAGAAGCCGAGAACTTGAAATCAACTGCCGACAATCTTCGTCTGCTGATTCGAAGATTTATGAACAGCGTTATAGGATACTATCAAATTCCGTCTAGGCTTCAGCAAGATGAACAATTACCATCCATCAAAGAACTGCTCAAACAGACGGATATGGAGGAATGCTTGGATTAAATCAATGGGTGGAGTGCAAACTGAACGACAAAATTGAATTACATCCGTCGTATGTCTTGGTCTAGATTAATTTTTAGTTATTATGGCCTGTGATCAAAATTTGTATCATAGGAGAGGTGTGTACCCTACGAGAGGTTGCGTCTAAATTGCGAATTTCACCTTTTTTCTTTTCAGAACATCCGCACCGCAGACTGGGTCTTCGTTCAGTCGTTTGTTATTAATAGGTTTGTCATTAATAGAGCAGTAACATTTTCGGGAAGGCGGCCATTGATCAGTTTTATGGTCCGACCGACCGAAAACTGCATAAGCTTGTTGTCTTTTAAGGAGAACAGTCAGGGATGTTGGAAAGCCACCGATTTTTCTACTACCAGTCCTGCTGGTGATTTCAAGTCGAAAATCTTCATAGAGGCTAGAGAGGTAGAAGGAGATTTGTTTGCGGTAATATCCGCAGATTTTGCACCCGTCATGTTTCTGAACTAGACCCAAACCAACTCTATTATGCATCGTAAATCGTGCCGATGGTAACTCTTTCTCAACAAGGGCGAGAATTCCCTCCGGGAAACTTCTGCTACAGAGAATAGATCCATTGCAACGGTACTGTCCATCTGTGAAACTAGGCTCTTCATCGAGTTCAAAGAAGAACGACGTTGTGAGGAGCGCACGAGCAAGATCACTGGGGATCTCACATGCTATTTGAGAGAGCTGATCGATGTGCTCAACGTTGTCTAATTCGGGCAACTCTTCCCCTAAATCTTTGTCAAGTCGGAATATGTCTTCCTTTATGTCTTTCGAGAGATCATCCAAAGCATCTTCAAATCCTTTTTTTCCATCAGCGGCTGGCGAAAAGAGGAATGCGCGTAGGCCACGGCCAATAAATCCATTATGAAAGGTTCGTTTAGACGGAAGGTTGCAATCCTTGGAAGTTTTTGGACGTGCGTATCCTGTGCCAATGCTGACAACAAGGTCTGGCCTTCCAGCATCTGGCCAAATATTCATGGCTTCTCGGATTGCGAATTTGAGTGGACAGTTAGCTAGAATACCTGCATCTTGGAGTGTCCCTATATTTTGTAAATACTGGGCTTTAAAATAGCTTTCCACTCTCGTTAGTGGACCTTGTGATTAACGCAAGAATGAGATAGACCTGCCTCAAAGCAGCAACACAACACCTCACCCTAGAAGAAGTTAACTACTTATAAATTACACAATTTCTTTCGTCAAATATTTGAATGACGGTACTCACACTTGCCAGAGCAAAGGCTCTTCATCAACATTCTCTGGCATAATAGATGTATACGAGGCTTCCTCGCCTGGGTTGCGAAAGTGCCTATAGTTTGAGAACAAGGAAACGGTGCCATCGCTTTCTACTTGGCTTGTGGTCAAGGCTACTCGGACTCCGGGTGGCGAACACGGAACATCGAACAAATATGTGGTAGTGCCAAACGTTTTCTGAAGTGCGCTGTTAAGGTTTGTCGAGTCATAAAGAGCATCGGCCCATAAACGTCTGAGGAAATCGACGAATTTGGCTATGTGGTTTGTACCCTGTGATTTAGATGTGAATATCTCCCGAACAAGCGGCTTGAATATTTCCATTGCATGCCGTGCGCTAGATCTTTTTATGGCGGTCTCCACCAGAATAGGCGCACCTAACAATATGAATTAGTATGCGATTGCATTTCAATCCCAGATTAGAATTCTCTCGGGCAAAACACTGACCGACACTCGTCCCCATATTGAGATCGATATCTTCTCGGATTGGTCTACCCGATCGCCTTCTCTCTAGTTCAAGCAAGAATTTTAGAGTTATTATTCCTCGAACTCCACCACCATCAAGCACGAGAAGATCAGGACGTTTGGTGGGTGGCAAATCCCGCGCCATATGATTCATTTTTCGTTGACAGATAACACAATAAGGGATGTTATAATGATATTCGGCCCGGCGAGCCCGTTCTCCCCAGATTTTGACACATGTAGTACAAATAGCGTGGCCACATGGAAGCATTTCGTCTGTTCCTCGGAGTAGACAACTCAAGCACGTTGTATTTGACCGCAAAGGCGCCCATAAAGAACTCTGCTTTTCAAGGCTGTTTTTCCGATAAATTGCAGTGTTTGAATCTCGCTTCAGTTTAGTAAAAATGAAGCAAAATTGGAGCTTTATAGCATCACATCCAATCTTTGCTGTCTCTGAAGATGCCGCTGTCCAAGCTTCATGGCATAGTTTAGAGTAATGTGTGTTGAACGTAAGAAGAGGATTGAATTCTAATATTATTAGTATACATAAGAAGAGCCCAGGAAATCGAAATTCAAGAAGCCTGAGGTGTGAAAAGCGCGAAACTTACTGTGCATCCCGTTTGGATATGCATCCATGATTAAAGCGGACGCAATGCAAATTGCAATTTCAGAAACGGTTTTCCCTGAATTGGTAACTAGCTTGATAAAGCTTTGCAGGTGTCTTGAAGCATTTGGAGCGACATCGTTGCCTTCTCTAGCAGCTTTAATTGAATTGAACGGGCGATGGGGCTCTCGGGCCAGATGTTCCATAGCCTTGCGAAAGAGGGCCTCGATGTGGGTAGCTGTAAACAGAAGATTACTCGTGTCTCGTAGATTACGAACAGTCTCTCTATCACGTGTCATTTCAGCATGTAGGTCAAGAAACCTTGCATCGGGCGACAGAACATGGAGTTTCCGCAGGTCGATGGTTGACAAATCAGAAACCAGAGAGCTTAGTAGAGCTTCTCGTAGAGGCTGGTCAATTAGGTCGGACTCAGCAATATTTGCGTTTGGGTCAGTAAAGACAATGACTAGCTTAGGACGGGAGAGAATTGGTTCCTTGAAACCCTCTGTTATCTCGAGCCACGATGTTAGCAATCGGGTTGTTTCCGGCCCACCAATATCATCAGAAAAAATATATATTATATGCGAGAATGGAAATATAAGAAGACTATAAATTAAATCTCTGAGATCCGAATATGATGAATTATCCTCGTAAGACATTTCATACTGCATTCCCTGAGATTGTCGGTAGTCCAAACCTGGCCGGATCTCTCTATCGCATAGTTTATCTATATTACCGTCGATTACAAGAGTTGGATACTGAGCTTCGACGGCAGTTTCACTCAGATGAAGCTTGGCGAGACTAAGGGAAGTGTTCTTCCGTGTGTTATTGGAACGAAATAACACGCGTAGAGCCTCTGATTTGCTCTGTTTCCCGATAAAGGTAAGCACCGAAGGATATTGCCGATTTGGGTCAGACATGCTCTGGACGAGCCTTCGTAATTGCCCGTCATCCGCAACGATCCACCTATCCTCCCGCTTTGTGATTTTCAACCATTGCGACATTATTAACAGCGAACGGAACTCCAAATTCAAAGAACGAGTTCAAGCCATGTTTTACATTATATAGAGAACTAAAAGGGACAGGGATAGAGACCCTCAGCTTGACTCCGTACCGCCTTTCTGCCGACGGCTTCCAAAACTAATTCGAGCAGGGAGAAATTGAATGGGCCGCAAAACAATTCAATGGCGTTAATGATATATGCAACTATTCTGAACAGTAAAAGTCAAGGAGCTCATGCATTTGCAAGATCCACAAAGAAGTAAAGAATAGGTTGTGTTCATATTTTGAAAGGAAAATATTAGTCAGATATCCGGTCTAAAGTCGACTACCATTCGTCATAATCCAAGTGATACCGACTGGACCAAAATTGAGTCACTCAATAATTTGGATAAATCTTGTCGTAATGGTAATTCGTTCCAGCGGACCTACTAAATAATCTGTTCGGACACAGAATTGAATCAAACTGAATTTAGAAACACAGTGAAGCAATGCAGAGGATTTTCTTTTTCGGCCAAGTGATCGCTTTCAACAAGCTGCAAAGACTGAGACAAGGGCTATTTAGGATATGGAAGAAAAGAAGCCAATGGGTTTGGTACAGAATTAGATATAAAATACCTGCTGTCAGTCTTTAAATATGTACTTTGTTTATCAGTCCAATAGAATACGAGAGTTCGGGGGACCCTTAATTCATTATCGATGCTATGGACTGATTTTCAAACGGAAGAACTGGTGATTGGAGTTTATCTTGGTCGAGAGGGGTTCCACCATGTTCATCGGCTCCCTCAGACTGCGTTGAATACTTTCCTTTCTCTCTACCTTCACCTTCAAGGAGCAGAGCGGCCTGTGCTTGGCTTTGGCTTTGCGCATGGGCCGTCCATTTGTTCTTTTCGGCACCTTTGGATGACACAGTGGCAGATGAGGAACTTGGGGAGAAAACTGTTCCACAAACATCCAGCAGTTTGGAGCGCTCTGGTCTTTTTCGGTTCTTATGCTTGGCTTTCAGATGACACATGATCCCGTGTAGAGTCCCGAAACTGTCCTTCCCACACACTGGACATGCAATGTAAACTAATTCGCCATCAGACTGTCGCTTCCAAAGCGGACGGCCCATGGAATCACATCCAATCGGACGGCCATGTCTTTTCTCTGAAAAGACGTCTTCTATTATTTGGAAATCCTTCGAGATCATTGAGGAATCGCCATCAACAACTTTTGCGGACGCTGTTGTGGTTGGTATATGCGGAGGTGATGGCGGCAAAATCTCTGTCTCCACCGAAGATGATGGCGATGATTGGTTTGAGTGGAAGAAATCTCGCTCTCCGAAATTTTGTTGAGTCAATGCTTCAGCTTCTGTTGGGATAGAATGTGACGAGACGGGATGTAAACTCTGTGTCGTGGCCGTTTCATTTTCGTGGTGGGTTGCTGTTCCGTTGTAAAATTCTTCCCAAGAGGTACGAAGACCCTACCATAGGGAGATTAACATTGCAAAATCCAGCACAATTTGAACTTACGTACATATTCCTCTTCATCTAATCTATTCATGGTTTGGAGAAACTCAGCATCTTCCCGTTTCCGCCCAGCTACTTGGAGGTTGTGTTTCGCCAAAATGGTGGACTTTTGTTGCGTGACGTTTGCTAACCGTGAGTGAATGATGTTCAAATGTGTCACTCGTCTCATCGAGGCTGTAGAATGCCAAGTCTCTCCACGCGGCCAAAAAGTAGGGGTTTGCGAGTTGGGGTCCATTGAGTAGCATGAACATCGAAATAATATAATGAGAATAAACAATGAAAGCTTTGGATTCGGAACTTCAAGGTCTTAAATAGGATTCCAAATATCAATTTCTAGTTGACGGCAAAATGTATCCTCGTTCTACCCACGCAGGGGATGATTGTTTAACGAATTTTTAAGAGTCTTCGGAGCATTATCCGCTATGGTCAACTTTTACGAACCATGTACATCCGAGTTCAATTTATCATTTAATTGACCGATGCTATCAGTTATTCCATATGAAAGTTTCCGTTTATGGCTGGTTTCCGAATCAGAAAGTTCAACCGCAGGTTATTACCACGGTAATTGTTGACCATGAATCAAATCTTGTCTATGTGACTTGTCCCGATATGGATCAGCTGATAAATTGACCAAGTAACGTCTTGAACATGACACGCTTTGTTTGATATTAATTGTAGGATCAATTAATAACATGATGTTGACACGCGTCGCTTTGTCGGCCTGTGTTGCCCTCTCACCTCCCAGCCGTAGCTTCGTTAAGAATTGCGCGAATTTAAGTTTATTCATGACATAACTGTGTCAGTTGAAGACTGCACAAGGCGAATATTGAAGCTAATCTCTTTGAGCCATTTACAGTCGCGACCGTTATTGCCTTCCATATCGGAAACAGAGCGATGCTTTTTCAAACCCTAATCACATGATACGCTAAACCGGATATGTTAATTACCGTATCTTAACAAAATGTTCTGAGAAAAAAATCCATGTGACCTGTATTGTAGTGTATCATTATAGACCCAAAAATAACAACACCCCTGGGGCCGTCTCAACAACAGCGTCCGAATTCAGGCACCGACAATCCTCCGAAGCCATTGCAAAATGGCACGAAACCTCGATTCCTGGCAGCATAATATCATAGTCCATATGATACGCAGCAGGAACAGACTCACCACATCACAAATGGCCAAGGTTGCGAAGTGTAGCGAGCGTTCTATCACTAACATACGCAAGAATATGCGGTTGTTCGGAAGTCCCAGGTCTCCTCCCATCCCTCCCGGCCGCCCTCCATGTGTCACTCCTGTGATGCTGGACGCTCTTTGTGACCACCTTGCCGAAAAGCCCGGCCTATATGTCGAAGAGATGGCTATCTTTCTATGGGACGAGTTTAACATATTACCGTCCTCATCTAGCATCAAGCGTGCTCTTGCCCGGGCTGGCTGGACAAAAAAGAAAGCCCAGCAGAAAGCCAAAGAACAGAACCCTCAACTACGAGATTTTTACCAGCATAAACGATCCGAGTTTCGTTCATACCATTTGGTTTTTGTTGATGAGTCTGGATGTGATAAGCGGGTGGGTTATAGGCGGACCGGTTGGTCACCACTCGGCGTGACACCAGTCCAAGTGTCTAAATTTCATCGGGGCCAACGCTACCAAATACTACCAGCCTATGCTCAAGACGGTATTATTTTGTCTCGTATTTTCAAAGGTTCAACGGATGCTGCGTTCTTCGAATCGTTTATTGAGCAGCTTCTCCAGCATTGCGGGAGGTGGCCGGAGCCAAAATCCGTGCTTGTTATGGATAACGCATCTTTCCATCATTCGGACCGAGTCAAGCAGTTATGTTTTGACGCGGGAGTCAAATTACTGTATCTGCCGCCTTACTCTCCGGATTTCAACCCCATCGAGGAGTTCTTTGCGGAACTCAAGGCTTACATCAAGAAAGCTTGGTCAGCGTATGAAGAGAATCCAGACGAAGAGTTTGATGCCTTCCTTCGACGGTGCGTGCATCATATTGGTGCAAAACAACAGAGCGCCGAAGGCCATTTCCGACATGCAGGTATAACGATAGAAAAGGCATGAGTGGCCGCCGTACTAGACAGTGTGTGCAGCAAGGAGCACAAGCCAGGTTGCGTGTGCAATAAACCCTTATGATCCACTATCATGCTGGCTTGGTTTGTTGTTCCGCTCGTCGATCAATAGTACTTTGTGTTGGGAGGAAGACCTTGTGTCTTGTCCTCACTCTGGAGGTTATATCTGTTAGATTAATGATGTTTATGACAAGGAAGCAAGACAAACCAAAAGTTTTCCAAAACTCTTAACAAGTTCGGTTTCATATTCGCAATATGCTCTCTCACGAGGACCCATATTGCTGAAAGTTGTCGCAACATCAAAGTCAATCCATACAATTCGGTCACCAGACACAACAAGCATGTTCTTCGGGTAAATATCATGGTGATGGACAAAAGCACCATGAATCTCTTTTATGCCATCAACCGCATCGCGAAAGAGATCTTCCGAATAATTCTCGCAATTTAGTCTTTCCGCATCCGGCAAGTACTCAAGCAGGATCGCCCTTGGTTGGAATTTATCGCCGACGAAATGTCTAAGCGGTGGGTGGAAAGCGGACGGATCAATTCGATCGATGTAGCCGTGAAAAGCCGGAACAAAGCCACCATCACAAACGCCGAATTCATGAAGATTGTTATAGGCGTTCAATTCGCAGCGAAAGCGGTTTAAATCTCGGCCTTTTTTCGTGTACCCTGGGTCACCATTGTCATGGAACTGGTATGTCAGCTCGCCCTTGGATGGCAAAATCGAACTCACAAGCTTCATAGCATATTTCTTCCCAACTAGCTGTATCTCATATATCGTGGAAGTCTTTGAGCGACTGACCTCCCTTCTGATGTCAATATCGGAGGGACCTAGGTTTAAAGAGCAAGCACTCTGCGAATGCATGGTCGTTGAGTGAGCTACATCGAGTCAAAGCTGAGCGAAGGAGGTGTTGGTGAGGAACCGGAAGGCTTGGCCGAAATAGCGCGCCTCCTTGAATTACGTAAGAACAAAATGTCATGTGATGGTGTGAATCTAATCGCCCCCTCATTCTTGAACCATGGTCCACATGGTCATCCTTTCGATCTTACACAGAACTCATGTATTTATGCGGCAACAGATGGAAACTCAAATGCAAACGCTTCTGAACTACCTCTCTATCGCCCTCCCGACAATACCAACTCAAGGGACTACACCTGGCCCAAACACCACAAATCCCCAGTACGATGCGGACGATATTACTCACATTGTCCCGTGGTCAGAATTCAGTTATTCTACTATCATTCTACAATACGCAGAATTATTAAATACAAAGCGGATCAGGCCTGACCCTTTTACATCTCCACCTGCCCCACTCAAAGATGAAGCAACCTTCCATCTTCGTTTCTCTGATCTAGTTATGAATCGTGTTCGACGCGCCCTTCGAGCTGGGTTCGAACAGCTCTCTCCGCAGCTTGCAACACATCGGCTCTCTGAAACTACAATAGACGGAGGGGGTTCCGCGAGGATAGTTGACCAGTTCAGGCCTGATGCTGCGTTTATCGTAGTTGGCGCTAGTCTCTCCACGGGTGTCAATCGAGCCCCTGGGGACTTGAAGGTGTCATGGAAGTGGAGATCATCAATGCAGTTTTCGCAGAACCTGGCAGACCAACGAGAGTACAAGCAGGTTTTGGCGCAAGTGAACTTCTATATGGACCAGCACAACGCCCGGCATGGGTTTATCCTCTCAAATCTTGAGCTTGTCGCAATCAAACGGCTGGATAGAGATGGCCGCTTAGCCGTCGCTACACCTGTCCTGTGGGCCAGTGGAGGTGCTGGACGCCTCTCGGTTTTATTAGGATTATGGTATCTCGGAATGCTAGCGGCAGAAGACAATCACTGGGCTCTGGACTAGGGTAAACTGGATAATCCCAATCCTAATTTGCTAGTTCAGATGTATTGATACCCGATTCTGTCAAAACCTAGCCTTCATACCCGAGATATGCAAGAAGGCGTTTAAGCCCGATACTACTTTGTGATTGGCTGGTAGCCAGCGGTAACACGTGAGCACGGATTTTGTAAAGACCATTAAGCGCACTTGTCACACACCGCACTTAAACTAATCCACACATTTCTCTCGTTACCCAGCAGCATTATAAGCCTTATTTGACATCTGGATCTTGAACTCCTTCACTTTCGCCTCTTCAATGTATAAATATGAAACATACAAACGACTAGAACCAGAGGCCACTTCCGGAATGGAAAAACGCTCGGCACTGAAGTTAAATCGTGTAATGAATCAATGATTATGCTGCTTAACACCGCCTGCGCTGTGTCTTGTCCACAATTTCGGTACGTGTTGTCCGTCTGATTCGCTCTTGCAATGAACATGCCCACACGAAAATATCAAGGGCGAAGGATTGCAACGTGGTGTGAATTCGATTGATAAATTCCCCGTAGATCCAAATCCTGTGAGTTGCCGGCCGTCAGATATTGCCAGAGACGTGTTCATTATTTGGCCAATCGAGCGTATGGAGCCAGGCGAGTCAAGGGGATGGTGAAGCCGTGCTGTAGTCATTGGGGCTTGGAGACTTTGCACCAACTGGGATACGTTTTTACTGAACTGGGACACTTGGTGCGAGAGCTCATCCATCCTCTGCGCATGACGTTTACCCTCTTTTTCGATGCGATCTGTAGCAGACCTGAAATCATAGTTTAGACCTTTTTGTCCAAGAAGAGAGGCAGGCATGGACTGACCATATAAAAGTGCTCAAGAGGAGATTGATCGAATCCGTATGGATTTGAAGCTTCTGCCGATACTCGGTCAAGGAGTCGCCTCGTAGATCCCATAGAATCCTCTTCCATTGGATCCTGACTTGGGCCTTGAACTGTGGAGAAAATATTACACTGGCGACCGTGCACGAACTGCGGGGCGCATGACGAGGATCGCCGGCCGCTTCTCGATATTTGGCCGTGGCATTATCAAGCTCCTCTAATGTCTCCTGACAGGACCTGATCATGTACCCCAAGTGTTGATTGATCAGGGCCGCAACAATGTCGGGTTTTGAAGCGGTCCTGACCACCATAGACTCATGTTCTCTATACAGATGGTCTAAGGCACAGCAGAGGCCGAACAATGCATCCTCGAGCTCTTTGAGTTCGCGAGGTGCTCTCTTGCGTCCATCAGTGACGGAAGAGAAAAGGCGATGTGCTATCTGGGTGCAGAGAATTATGTCTCCGACAGAGAAACCAAATGACATGACAAACACACCGTGATATGCGGTAGAGGAGAGGGGTGGAGCAAAAAGGGGCGTGGAAAATACGAAGGAAGTATGTGGTTGTAAGGACTGATCCAGTGAGACTGGCTGTAGAGTACAGTAGCAAAGAAGGGGGGGGGGGGGGGGGTGGGGGCTTGAATTACTAAAATCAAAGGGGATCGACAAGTCTTGCCCGCCCTCCTTTACTGCACTGCCACGTTGCCAAGACCCGCGCTCTGCGCCCAGGTGTGCCAATCAGATAAGTCCAACAGATCACTGTACAGGAGTTACCGTCCTTTTGAATGTACCTGGTATGGCATTGTCTCTAAGAGGTTCTCTAAAATAGTCACAGTGAGTAGATTCTACGCCTGCTGCCTCACAAGGGCCATTGAGAAAGGCTTGGTAGGGGGCACAGAGAGTAGACTCCATTAAAAGTGGAAAAGGCGAGTGAGGCAAGCAAGGACAGTGGTGTTGCAAAAGTCTGCGTCACTGACTGCGAAGCCGACTACGTCTTAGTGCCGAGCGTTTTTCCGCTCCGGAATGGTGGAGTAAGCGTCACAAAATCAAAGGATGTAGATAAAAAGTAAATAACCAGTACACGCGCAATATTCTGGGATGATAATAACCGATAATATCATGTAACTATTACAGACCAAGGCCAATATGCATTACACCTCCTCAACCAACAGAAATATCATGCCTTCAGATAACCTTCCGTGGAGCCAGCCGCACGCGGGGGACAGTAAGAAAATATAGCTATTACGTCTATTCGGAAAGGTTGAGAATTTGTTCATCGGTCGGGTTCAAGCACATGTTCGAGTTCTTCACAGTCGCCCATTCGTTTATGTCGCGCAGGAAGCGACGGGCAGTTCCAATTTGGATCCCACGCTGAACGTAGAAGCCAGTGTCGCAGTCCTCGAGTATTAGTTCAAGATCTAGGTGGTTTTCCAGAGTCACTTGGCAAATTCTCCGGAAATCCGCTTTGTATGCCTCGTCGGTGGCGCGTGATTCCAGCCATTTGCAGTATTCCCTAACGGCTTCTTCACGAGGCCCGGGAATTACGACATGCTCGTCTGATAACGGCCTGGGCAGAGACGAAGTAAGCGTCGAAGTGTTCCCTGCTTGTGCTGGCAGGACATTGATAATAGTTGGATATTGTTGTGCGGTAGTTGACAAGTCAGTCTTTTTCGTCTTTTTTCCTGTCTGGCTTTCCAGGCTTAGGTCTCGACGAATATCACTGGGGACATCACCATGACCATCTAGGACGCCACCATCATCGACATAGCCAATGAGTCGTTCTAGATGTGAGCTCCTGAGTTTGTAATGTTTCTTGTCCTTCGGGTCTTCCCAGCACCAATCAGACTTCAAAGGGCATGAGCGGACATTACATCGCATAAGCTCATATACACGACTCCAAGTTGAGGGTCGCCCAGTACTCTCTTCCTCCGCCTCAATGTGTGCCTCACGGTCAGCCAACATCCTGCTGGTTGCGGACACACGGCCTCTCTTTTCAACTCTTCTTGAGGAAGGCATGGAATGGCCATCATCATCCTCCCGATAGTTGAAGGCAATATCGATCGTGAGCTTCCTGCCAATACGAAGCAAGTTGCTCCATTTACGAAGCTGCTTCTCAACTGGTTTCCAGTTGATATTAGTGGAATTATAAAAATTTTCGAGATTTCTCTGAGACCGGTCGTTCACTGATATAGTGACAGCCGTGCCTTCAGATCGAACTCGCTGGTGACGCTTCTTTTTCGGTTGCAGCATATCTTCGACATCTGCCTTCAAACTTTCTTCCCAGTAGTCACTGGGGGCTACAACCAAATCTTCTTCGGTCACTTTACCTACCGTCTTGCGGTTGAGTATAAGCTTCCATGCAATTGTGTAGCAGACATATCTCGGAGGCTGCTCATCGTATTCGCCGTCTGGTCTCCATTCAACCAATGGGAGAAATTTGAGTTGATCCGACTGCAGCTGGTCCGTGGTACAATCCGGGGCAGGGCTGGGAGAGTACAGGCTAGCGCCACTAAAGTTACCGGGCGTGGGGGCATATTGAGAATTTTCGTCCCATGGGTCGACCACTTGGGGTTGATAGGCATCGTCACCAAAAAGGCTATTGGTCATCGTGAAGATCTTTCGTACGAGGGGTGGCCTAAGCAGAACTGGAAGGGGTTAGCTAGTAATCCCTAGTGTCCAGTAAGACCCAAAGCCGGTGGGCGACGATAAGCAAGGTGGAGATCACGTAAGAAACAAACCATACTGTTGAGCCGTGCTATCAACTTGACCCCAAGATGGACGCCCACGAAAGCGCCAGGCCTTCTACAGTGAAGCAACTGCGAGATAGTCACAGAAGAGGATTGTTGACAAACTGCCAGGGGGAATCTTGTTTGCTAAGTTTGCATGGAACCTTCTAGTCACCCACCCCATGATTCCAAGATCTAGAACCCGTAACTGCCATACCGGTATACCGGTATAATAAAAATTCCGGTGTCGACTGACCAATATTTACAAAACATGTTATTTACAGGCAGTTCATATTGGGTTTAGCGCATCATGTGATTAGGGTTTGAAAGAGCATCTCTGTGTTTCGAACATGGAAGGCAATAACGGTCGCCACTGTATTACTACAGTAACTTACTTTAACCCTTTCAAAGACAAGGACTCCTGTAAACGTTGAGTATCATTATCAGGTGAGTATGTGGACATAGTATAATGGTACTTGACCAATCAAGGTAGAAATCAAAATCAAGCAAGCAATCAAGGGAACATAGATACTGAGTTTGGAAAGAAGTTTCGTAACTATCATGATAGAGCTCATTGAGTTTTGTGCGGCATATCCCAAAGCTTACCAGAAAAAACCCCCCTTCCGGGAGCCAAAATACAGTACATGAAAACTATGAAGACCTCCATCTTCCTATCCTTCAAACTCACTTGTTTCATCCTTCTCTTGTTTCAATCTTTTGATCGAATCGTGTCCCACAAGGTCGTTTCTCTGCCTTTTGGTTCTCTCATTGCCGGCAAAAGCTGCTGGGTTGTCTGCCGGAAACGGCTGATTTGCGTGCCGTTGTATTAAATCCTCCAATTCCGTATAACTAGTTGAAATTGCGGTTGGAGAAAGGTTATCAAGGTCATTGCGATCGAGGTGGGCATCTAGACGTAGTGGATCTTGTGCGGACTCTGAATGAGACTTATTGACTCCCCGCGAGCGACTTTCCAAGTCTTCCGTACGATCGATACCTTGAACACAATCATGTGCTACCGACAAATTGGAGTCGTTACCTCTATTGCTACAAGCACTATGAGGTATTTTTACATGCGAATGTCCTTTTTCTTTTTTCACGTTTCTCATTCCCTCGTTACAATGGAAGATCAATGCGGCTGGGGAAGGATAGAAAAGATTAACATTAGCGAAAACTGGAATATCCGTTTTCCAATCGAAGGGTTTCTTACTATTCTCTAAATCACTCGAGGTTTCGGGTCTCTCCTTATCTTCAATTTTCTCTGCCACGGAACTTTCACTTTCGTGTTTTACGAAGGGAGAATTACCGCTTGTGGGCACTGAGAAAGAATCTGTGTTGACTGGAGAAGTAGCAGCGGGGGGAATCCCAAACAATGCATTTTCCCTATTCCTTGCGACCATAGGAAAGCAGGGCTGTTCATCTGATACTTGAAAAAAAACTTCGTTCTCGCCCTCGGATACTCGCTTGCGTGGACAATCACACTTAATCTCATCTTGTCGAAAAAGGAGCCGGTCTGATTCCAGGTAGCAAGATGCGGAATGGAGGATAACAATATATTCCACACAAGGACCGAAAGTCCGCGAAAACGCGCGACTAAAACCGTCATCCCAAAGCACGTGGAATAACATGTTCCCACTTGGAATCATACGGATGGCACGAGGCATCTCACATAGCTTTTCTCGACAAGTGCGAAATAAAGTGTAAGTCAGTTCCTCCGCTGGAAGAGGCGACCTGGACTTGAGCGTGGGCTGAATCAGCGCCAGAGCGCGCTGATAAATCTCCTCAACTAAGTGGTCACAAAAGAATGACTGCGAGTGACTAGGAGGGAAATTCGTCCCAACTGTACATCCACTGGTTAAGTGGGCGCGCTTGCAGTCCAGCCACTTCTCATGGACGTACAGAGTATTTCTATCTTTTAGGAACGCGATGTTTGTTTTCTCATTGTCAGAGCTAACATAAACGAGGCGGACTGTCTCCGTCAATGGCTCCGCGAGGAGAATTCCCCGCAATGCTCGGTCCATCTCCTGTGCGAATTGCGTCTCTGGAAGCTTGACAATCTCAGACTCACCGAGGCAGCGCCGAAGCTCTTCGTTGGGAGTAAGGATGAGGTGGTGATCTCGAAGAAGCTGCCAAAGGGAGGTAGGAATTCGACACGGTTCTTTTTTGAGCTCTTTTCGAATTACCTCAGAAGTCTGGATCTCTGTTAATATCAGCTCACTAAAAGACATTAGGAATTTACCTGATTTTCTTGAATTTTAGCATAGTAGAATGCTGAGTTTTCTTTGGCCTCATCCACGAGTACTGCCCAAATTTTTTTGGCAGTACTTTCGGTCACGAACTGCGCAGCTGACCTCACATCCCTTGCTGTTGGATAATGTCGAAGTAAATCCACATAAACGGAGAGGACATTTCTATCTCCCCTTCCAATAGAGCTTGACCAGATATCAGCGATAACTTTAGATTCTTCGAATCCAGTAATCTGCCGCCGATCTCTGGTAAACGATCCGTCTACCAGATTGTAGCAAGCGCGAAACCTGTGTTCCTCGCTGTCATGTAAAGATACCTGGACTCCTTTCGAATACAGCTTCCCAGAGAAACGATCGTCTAAGATCAAGTCTCCGCCCAACGTGTGGACGATTTGGGAAGGCGGCCTGACGTCTATCGTGACTTGCATCCAGTGCCAAAATTCGTCCGTGGTCATTTTTGGCTCTCCGTTGTGGAGGCCTTTCCTGATAACAAAGGAAACATCCTCCCATATATGAGCCATGAGTTTCCGATCCTTTTTGTCTTCTTGGCGTTTCTCGGACGCTATTTTTTGTCGTTGTGTTTTGGTTTTGCTCGCAGGGCTAATTTGGCAGTAAAAATTTTGATTTGGCTTGCCGCGGAAGCCAAAATTCCAGTAGCAACTGTTCGAACACGCTTTAACATGATAGCCATTGCGACATAACACCAACGCCGCTAATTTTAGGCCTTCACCATGTCTACCTGTCAATCGCTGATCGGTGGTCTTGGTTGTGTACCCTAATTCTAGGCATTTCCGGTCAAGTGTCGCGCTGAAATTAGTTAATTCTACAATGCCTGTCAATTTTTTAAACCGAATAAATCCGGCATATTGAGACGTCTCTGGTGGGTTGCGCCGATCTGGTGCGTTCCGTATTGTGATCATGATTTCTCTATCCGTCTCCTTTACACTTGGGCAAAACCCAAGCAAGGATAGTCTATGAGTGGCTACTATAGAATCTTTCCTGTATCTTGATTAGTACAAATGTTTCACAGCCAAAGACGCTTGCACAATTTCCTAACATCGGCCTTACCAATTTTGATAGAGCTCTCTAAATGCATCATATGGCCCCCAGTCGTGAGCGTATGATCGCGTTAAGCCCAAAGGCTGAGTGGATGCTCCCAGTGCATTCTTTTCATCTTCCGGACAGTCTACATCATTGTCGTGCAGTCCCTGGTCAATGAATGACGTTCTCTCAAGATCCAAACCCATTTTGAAACATCTATTGTGGGTTCTCGTTATCACGATGCAGAGGCAGTCGAGGAGAAGTGTCCTTTTGAGTTAAGCTGAGAATAGCTCTCACTAGCTTCTTCATACCTTCGTCTTGTTCAACGCAGACGGGATCTCTTAAACAAGACTTCAATTGCTTACGTTGACGAAAAAGCCGGATGATTATTTCTCTTCAAATATTATCGCCTGTACAACATAAAAGCGTAAATGTGGTGTGCGATCGTTCCAACCTTCCAAAAACAAATGTCGTAAAATGGGAAATGCCAATGATGTAGCCGAAGCCTAATGAGTAGAAAGAAAGTGACGTGAACGAGCCGTCTACACTTCTCCTTTTCGCCGGACTGTGGATTGTAGGGTAACGCTGTATCCAAGACAGGTTGGAACTATAGTCATAAGTCACAAAAGCTCAACAAGCGTAAAATTAATTAGAATAGGGACACAAATAACCTAAGAGTTTATTATGCGGGGCAAAAAAAGAAGTCCAAGTTAACTTCTAACCTTGAAAATTTCCATGGTCGACTCGAAAGGAGCCAAACCACCCTTTGCCCTTTTCTCGTTCTCTCCTTATTCAGGCTTGATAAAAGTTTAGGGCTTCTAAACAGATAGTTATTCCAGCCCTGCTGGAAATAAAATGTCGATACTTCACTGATGCTGTTCATATCCAAATAGTACTTTCCCTCCTGCTACCTTTATCGGATAATAGGGCACAGTTTCATGAGGCAGAATTAGAGAGTCCTTGCGAGGGAGACCAATAATTACAACATTCGGCATGTATATAAAATACTAGCCAAATCTAGGTGACTATCTATGTCGAAGCGACAACGTCAAATCGACCGGCAGTAGCAGCAGAAGTTCCATATCAATATTTTGCTTTCGGCTTGCAACCATGAACTCCCAGGTCTTTTGGAAAACACCCACCGTCCTTGAAAGTATCAAAGAGCAGCCAGAAGACGACGAAGGCAGTATAGACATTGAATCCACTGACGGCGAGAGTGAATCCGATTACTCAGCGACAGAGTCGGATAAAGAATTTATAGTCTCAGACTACTTGGGGCATGGTCAGGATGAAGATGAATCGGAGTATGAGCCACCAGACGTAGAGGCAGACGAGCTGTCCGATAGCACTGATGAAGATGAGGTATGTCTTCTTCCATAATTTGAAAATCGTTTCTAATGACAAACAAGGACGACAGTATTGAAACTGAGATACTGAATAAGCGAATTGTTTACCGGCAAGAGGGCCCAGTTACGCAATATATGGTGAAGTTCTGGGTAGATGAAGATCACATTCCTTTCCTGTCCGAGTATATGCGCGCGTGTCAGGAAAGCGATGGTGTTGGCCTTTCTGGTCAGAAACAGCGCTCATTTCCACAGCCATCCTGATTCATGTTTTCCATGACTTAGTAGGAGTAAGCAAGCATCAAGACACACAATTAGCTTAGTCTCTGCTTCTTTGCAATATGTTTTTGAATGTTTTTAATTGTACTGATGAAAAAATACAGCCTCAAAATATAAATCAAATATAGTCACTAATATCATGAATCTGCAAATGCAAAACCATGAAAGGCCGAGTAATGCTACAAATTGTCTTCTAATATGAAGAATCATAATTATAAATAAATATTGATCAATTTCTAGAAGAATAATTTTGGTGGGGGTCTTCAGCATAATCGGTCACGTCTCATTCAAAATCCAGATCCGATGCCAAGAAAGAAAGATAAAAAGGAATACGAAATAAACTATTAATAATGATAAATCTAGCGTAACTTAAGGGCCAAACTAGAGCAAGTCTCTTGCAGCTCTGTGATAAATCAATGCAATGTCATGGTAGCCTATGCAAATTCAAAGAAGCCATAATTTAGGAGGTAAAATCAACTTGAATCTTGAAACGACACTTCAATGCAGCTCAATAGTCCGAATCATTTGATTCTGGAGATGGCGAGGGAAAGTGCAAAGAATTCTGCTCTCGAGTGCTGATTGCCCTTGGATTTCCGCCTGGAGACAATGCTTTAATGATGTCCTGTTTGAATTGTTCCAACACATCCGGCAATTTTCCTACCGCACTTTCTACATCATCAAGACGTTTTGAGAGATCTTTTATTAAAGTGTTTGCGTCAGTAGCGAGATCCATCGCGCTCATGGCGATACCAACGGCTCCCTCGGAACTAGGCTCCTTTGATGACTTTGCTCTAGGCTCCTTCGACAATTTCGCTCTAGGCGCAGCTATTGCATTATCAGTATCATCAGTTGCATCGGATTCTTCTTCCTTCCGGTGGCATTTCGGATCTGGAGTTATCGTATTTTTCGATCTGGCCTTCCACGGAGGAGGTACGTCATCTCTCTTAGAGGTGATTTCAAGTATTTTTCTTGCGTTATTATCGATAGCTTGGACTTCCGACAATATAAGTAATTGGATACCATCCTTTTTAGAAACCTCGACAGGACAAATAGTGGTGGGAGATGTTTTCATTTTTCCTTCCCTTCGATACTCAGGAACTTTGTAGCAGCCGAAATAAAACCAGTTCAGCTCGCCGTAGTCTTGTGCGCGGAACTTTGGTCGCTTAGATGGGATCAGAACAAGCTTCTTCTGCTCGTCTATACTTTCCCATAGCTCCTTCCCTGCCTGCGATATCTCCTTGGGTCTCGCAAGTTCATAACAGTACTTCTTGTTATATTTTCGCTGGACACCATATAGACTCGAATACTCTATTGTTTCTTTTCCATCGTTTTCATCTTTCCTTACTCTCCTAATTGTCATATATTGAAAAAGAATGACTGTAAAATGCTGGTCACCCGTGATCTCCACGCACGCATTATGTTCTTGCCAGCGTTGAAGGATAGATGAGTTTACTGGTGAGTATTTGCGAGCGGCAAGACCGGAAGTTCTGTAAACATTGGGCTGTTGCGTTGCCCCATTTCTACCTAGAGCTGCTTCAGAGCCAGCTGCGGCAGATGCCTGCGCATTCGATGCATCTTCATGCAGACTTTGCTCAGCACTCTCTCTGGCACCTTCACGATCATCGGCAGATCTTTCAGGTACGTTTGACGAATCCACGTCCATATCTGGATTCACCCCTTCATGGGTCAAAGACTTCAGCTCTGTTTCAAGTTAGAACTTATTTTCTAGTGTAATTACCTTGTTACCTACTTTGGTGAGCCTCTTCTGCTCGATCTACGCTGTTTGCCACTCCGTAAGTCACGATTAAGTTGGCTATGTCATTGACTGGTTCACTTCCCGTATATCCGGGCAATTTCAAGTCTCTGACGTCCGCTGCTTCTATGTGCTGAACTAGGCTTCGAATAGCTTCATTTAGCCTTTCCTGCTGCTTAGGAGATAATTCCTTTTTGCCCTCTTTGATATCTTTAGGCAGGTCTGTGGTTTCCTTCCCGCCTTGACCTATGTGCGTCAGAAGGCCACAGTTAACCAAATGAGCGTAAAGTTCTGTCTGAGGATTGTGATCCATTGGTAACTAGTATTCCTTAGGCAACAATCACAATGAATTTGACAATGGTTATTCTTATCTTCTGATGTTAAGGGGCAGCATGAGCATAATTTATATCGAGAGAATACTTCTATCCGGAAACTTCCCAGTGCTGAAATGAATGACGCCGTGAAGGGAAAAAAGAATTCTGCAAACTAAATTAAATCTAGGTTGACCTGCAGCCCAATTTAGGTATGAAAATGGATGGGCGAAATAGAGTTCTTCTGCACATACCGAGAAAGGATAGGTAAAAAATATATTCGACTGACTTTTGATCCATATCAAAACTTAGAACATGCTTAATATCCGCAATTTTCAACTCAACGGATTTTAGAAGATAGTTTAGAATTGCAGATTGTAGAGATACACAAATATTTAGGGGCCAAAAGAATAAAAAGTACGTGTAGAAATAAGAGCAAACCACGCCAGCCCGACAAGATCACCCTGATTCAAGGACGATTGAACTAGAAGGTGATGCTGAAGTAACGCCGAGTTTAGTTAAGGTCCATCAGCAGGTGTGACTAGTCGCTTACTCTTTGCAATTCTTTGATTGACTGGGCAGAGGTTGTCCGTGACAAGAAGTCAACTGCGTGTGAATCGGAGGGCCATTGGTCGAGATTATCGATACCAATAGCCCCGTCGGCTTTAACGTACTTTTGCATTAGCTCCATGACTATTTTTGCTAGATCAAAAATATCCGAGGTCTGCTTTTCTTCCGATTTGCGCCTCTGACAGTATTCCAGCCGCCCTAAGAAATGTGAGTGGAGCTCAGTAGTATCTCTTGTGGTATACTATACCAATTCGAACATTGCCAACCAGATCCATTAAGATGCTAGAACAAATAAACATATGATGCTTAAAGCCCTGCGCAATTATAAATGAAAGGCCATTCAAAGTCTATATCTTATTTAGTATAGGATTTTAATGTTAGATAGCAAAACAAACCTGCGATAAAATGACTCCCAACTCGTTCTCAGTAGGAAAAAGTACGGAAGCAACAAGGTGTTCCATTGTGAGTGGATAATGCTCAGATAGAACGTAGAGTAAACTGTCTTCCTCAAAAAACTCTAGAGTTTTCATAATATTGTCGTGCTCTAATTCGTGGAAATTTCGCAGAATGTTCTTTGCGTCCGAAATGGGAAAATGGCGCAGGTTTTGCACGTGAGTGGCGCCTGAACACCGCTTGATCACTGAGACTTCACCAGCAAGATCACAGTCGTAAATCTTTGTGAACTTATGCCACGGTGATTGCTTCTGAACGCTTTTGTAACACATATGGTTGTATTAACTTAGCTTAGGGATTCTCTGTAGCACCAGTTGAACGAAGCTGAAAGAACTCACTGTTTACCGCTCGAGACCGGCATAGGATGATTACCGCTGACAAATGAAGTTATATTTTGCGTCTAATGGTAGTGTATTAGTCAAATTTACGCTATGGGAAAATGAAATTTCTCGACATATACCATGTTTGAATTCGAGGGGGGCAGTTTGTGAGGCATATAGATCCTCGAAGTTCGTCTGTAATATAGATAAATGAATTGTCAGAAGACACATTCTTATTAAAGAGAACCGAGTGCATTGAAATAGGGAGCGCGTTAGAACACTGACTTCACATGACTGTGCAGCGCGCGGAGGTTCAAGGTGATGCCGGACCCCGTGTTCAACGAAGAAAACGAAGAGATACAGATTGCATCTGAGCGACGCCGAAAATTCCAAGGTACCGCCAAGGTGAAAATTGACCAGATCCACTTCGATCCTCCTTTGCCTCAGGATCTGAATGAAAAAAACTTGGAGCGACTTCGTGGGATCTTTTGTGGGCCGAATGGGGAAAACCAATGCCGTCGTCACGATATTGAAAATCATATCCCCGCGATAGTGTCTGAACACTGTCTTAGTGCAGCACTGCAGAGTGCGGCCGTTACCAGTGAGAAGCTGTTCGCCAGTTCACCAGAACAACTTCCGAATCTTAGCTTTCCGAGCGGAGCGCTGAGAGGCTTACATGGTCGGCATCGGATACAAGTGGCTCTAGAAATTTTATCGGATCTTGACAAGTGGTGGAGTGTAGATCTCTACTTAGACGGTACGGTCAACGGAACAGTAACACCAATCCTAGTGGTGAACAATACAAAAAGCTAACAAATGTTAGACATCGGAGACCAGCTCAAGACGACCTTGATTGATGAATACTCCAACCAAATAGCCCCGACCAACGGAAAAATCTATCGAAAGATACGTCAGTACGAGGGTCAGGGTAACTATCGTTTCCGACAGCGTTGGTTTTTAAGACTATCAAAAACCAATCGAGATCGGCTTGACCAGTTGGATAAGCGAAAGAACAGCCGTCTGCGAGATGCATTCGATGCGCTTCTTCCATTTCCCGCCCTTTGGAACCGCGCAATGAGGATTAGTATGATACCTCGGTTAATCGCGTGTGATTGTGTCGAGGTTTGTCTTAGTGTCCTTTTACTTAATGGCTGTGGGTGACTCGCGATCTAGGAAAATGTGAACTATCTCCGTGACGTAAACCTGTGTTGGACTCTCATTGTCAGGAGTATCGAAAATGGGAAATCAAGGATTACCGAGGATGATGTCGAAAGTCTCGAGCTAAAAGCACCTTCCGCATCGGATCCGGACTCTCGAGAGGTATACGGTCACCTTATAAGTGGCGCTATATTCACCCATTTCAGTGACGAAGAGCGGCAACAAATTTGGCACAATCTGAAATGCTGGGATGGCCTAATACCCTCTCTTTCCACTTTTTTCGAAGACTTCAAGTTTCTAGAAAGCTGCGCTCATTGTATAAAACGACTCTTTGGTCATTGCGAACGATCTATATGGAATACCATGAGGCACATGTTTATTGTCTCGCCAGAGCTAGCGAAGAATTTCCCGATTCAGACAGGAGAGAATGCATTTGTTTCTATCGATGCTTCTGGAATTGACTATTTTGATATTGCCTACCGACAGGTGTGGTTGTATGCTATGCGGCATTACCCCTCCATGCCACCTGACCCAAAGAGCGAGGATGATTTACTAGCAAAGCAGAACCGAGCAAAACCGGACAGACGTGCAATCTACCATATGGCTAAACTCGCCAACTGTCAAGGATTTCGCTCTGGAGAAATCATGAAGATTGGGGAAGAGTCTCTTGATCGGCAAATGGCTCGAGATGTTCTTCTGAATGCCCGAGTTCCTGAATATTATCAATATGATAACGACTCATTTGAAAGTTTGGTAGACCGGATAGTCGACTGCTTCGAGAAAGCTGCCCCTCGTGAGAGGAAGGTGACGTATCAGGCTCTCCGCAGCTTTGCCAATCGCGGGGCACGATGTGGAATGCCACGAATAAGATCTCACAAATTGGACAGTCCCAATCTATTCCTCGACAAATTACATGTTAACACTCAAACAGCCAATGAGCCCGTTAGTACTCTCCTCGTACGCCAGTGTGTGTACATCAGGTTTTTTGGACGGCCTGCCAGCCTCTCACCAGAATTTTTCCTACAGAATACAGGCGTGAACGATCTTCCGCCTGCCCCGCAAGGAGCTGAAAGCGGGACAAATGGGGAAATTTCGATGGAGGAAGCACTACAAGAACATACGCTATCGGAAGAAGAGACAGACTCATCAAACGACGACATTTCCATGAACGATGCCCCAGAAGATGATAACTCAGTTGGTGATTCATCGGGCAGAAAAAGAAGGAAAGCAACAGCGCGGAAACGTTTCGCTTCCAATGTGGGCATGGGCACACCCAAAAAAGGCCGAGTGGAAAAGAAGAAAACCAAAGAAAAGAAGAAAACAAAAGGCGGCGTGAAATCGGACAAAGGAAAAAGACACTCGCAAACTTCAGCTGAAAACCCACAACAAATCGTGACCAGACAAAGTCACCATGAGTCACCGCTTATCCGGCAAGACCCTAAGCCTGATTCGCCACATGAATTGTCAACGTCTCAGGACCATGGACAGCAAATACGCGAACAAACTCCTGGAGATGGGATACTGAACGAGAACCCGGAGTCGCACGATACCAATGCGACGTCCACATTAGAGGATGGTCAAGACACGAGCGGCAATGTGACTACTTCGGTCCAGGTATTAAGCGAGCATCCAGTGTCACACGATACTCACGCGATCGCGATCTCTACGATGGCGTTTGGCCGTGAGACTGCGGGGAATGACAGCCCAGGGAACACAGGACAGAAAATTGAAGTGACATTCTATCGTCTGCAATCATGTGACTATAAAGAATCGTTACACAAGTCGACCGACTATAAGAATTCGTCAAAGCAAATTAAGTGGATGAAAGAGCCGGAGACCCTTTGGACAGATTTCTCAAACCCATTGGATAGGTCCCGAGTCGAGGAAAAGGCAAACGAGTATCGACAGAGGTGTAACTTGTTCGACCATCGTATGCTAAGTATATCGCCGAATCAATGCTGCAGGACAATGGAGACGGATACAGTATATTCGATATTTCTGATTGGTACAAATACAAGACGGCAAATTGGCAGTATTTCAGACGAGGATCTTGTACGTTCTATGCCTAGTGAAGCTGTAGATATATAACTAGAATATCCTGTTTTTTTTATTATGCTCCGGCTTTTGTCTGCGCCAGGACATATTTCACACAAGTGGAGGATGTATTTGTGATTTCTCACTCATAATTAAACCTGATCTGTGAAGAGCTTCTCAAGGCGTATTATCTCATATCTCAACTGTACCTCCAAGTGATTCCTCACATGTGGATTTTCCTCACAAGGGGATCTACATGGATTGTACTTCCTCACAAATTTCGGCACAGGAGTAGTCACTCTTAGGTTTCAACCTCTCACAGGTAGTCAGAAATATGTATAAAGATCTATGATTCATCTCCTCTTATGATGACGTGCCACTCAAGTCGACGGCAGAATGTACAGCAGAACTTACTTAAAAACGGCCCAAATCTAAGCAGACAAAAAGGGCTGTACAATGCGAAGGAAGCGTACCCAATTTTCTAATCTGTTTCAGTTCCGGAGAAGGAGTTGAAGCAAAATGCCAAAGGAAATAAAATCATCTTTGGAAGTTTCGCCAACCTGAGACAAGTCCTGGTTGTCTTATGACCAATGTAGTCTTGTGCCAGTAGGCATATTTTGCGGACAAACATAGGAATCCAGGCCTAAGAATAGATTCTTAAGAACCTAAATGATTCATGCATTGCGGCGCAAGACTACTCCTAAGCTATGTTTGTTGTCTTATGACATCTGTTGTCATATGCTAGAGGGCACAATTTCGGTGTAGTGATAAGACCATACAGACATAAGGAATGAGTAGCAAAATGCTGGTCGGAATCTTGTTAAACTTCATCTAAATTTCTTTTTCTTCTTAGGTTTCCAGGTTGACTCCTCTCCCCGACCGTCTTGGGAACCAGAAATAATGCATTTGCTCCATCCGAAATTGCTGCATTAAAGCTTGATTCTGTACCAACAGTTCTCCAATTTCTGTCATACACAATCATACCTCGTTCCTTATAATCCCGGATCGCATTCTGTAATGACTGCCAATTGGACTCCTTCACGAGCACCGTTCGATCTACACACCAGTCGCTCTGACTGTGGACCCAGAAAGTTATGGGGGTCAGCCCATTCTGCACATCGGGTTGCCTGGCAACTGGTGGGAAGTCCGCACGAGAGATTGCTCTTGTCTCTTTTCCTTTGGTAGGAGAGCCCACGGAATCGTTTGGCTGGAACTTCTGCTGATCTGCAAAATTTTCTCCTAATCCAACGGCTGTTTCCGCTTCACAGTTATTGCTATCACTCTGGCTTGAAGTGGAGCGAAATTGTTCCATTAAAGCTGGTAAGTCAAGTTCCAAGGACGCTATTTCAGATGCGGTAGTTGGCGGAGCGTCAGTTAAATTTGCCAAAGCTTTCTCCCGATCCCGTAATATCTGCGAAGGTCTCGGAGTTTGATCTCGTCCCGTAGAGTCCCCTAACTCTCGTTGTCTGGCTTCTGCATCGAGCACGTCGCGGAAGAAAGACTCCAAGGCCGTTGCGTTCACATCGTCTTGAAAGGCCTGTCCTCCTTCCTCGGTATTTTCTCGCCGATGCGGACTGAATTCTGGGCTGTTTTGTCCTCGTCCAAATGTCTCGGCATTCAAAGCCGCGACTGGTTCGTTAAATGTACCCGTGCTACCTATTTCACTTTCGCCATCGTTCTGTTCTTGTCGTTGCAACGAAGGTTTGGTTGATTCTCTGGCACAGTCCGAAGGTTCTATTGGGTAGTTTTCGGTCTGCTCTTTGCGTACTTCTGTTCTATCTCCTGGTTGTAGGGCAGACGATGAGGCTTTAGCCAAGCCAGACGTAGGTGAGTTGTTCACTTCCATGTCGAAATCTGGAAGTGGTCCAAAAAATGCCAGATACATACAACGCCTCACAAAAAGCGTGGTTACCGTGTCTGGAGTATCGGTGGCATGCATGTAGTCAAGAAATAGATACGGACGATCATGCTGCAAAGCTCGCTCATCGGAATATCCACAGCGAGTTTTCTTATCCTTCGCAAGCTCCATGAAGGCAGACCGTCTTTCTGTGCTCTTTGATGGCTTTGCCTTAGCAAAACAACCAATAATTTGATCAATGGATAAATCAAGATCACTGTCATCGTAGTAAAATGATTCGGGTTTGCGAGCCTTCAGTAGAGCACGTTTGGCAATCAGCCGATCCGGGGAATCTTTTAAAAGTGTCTCGATCTGAGGGGATCGAAAACCAAGACGACTGGCAAGACTGGCCATCTCTGAAACAACAACCTCATCCGCAGGGGCACTCCGCGCCTTTGCTTTATGATTTTTTCGTTTTGGTTCAGGTGGCATCTGAGGGGAGTATCGCATTGCATACAGCCACAATTGTCGATAGGCGATCTCAAAACAATCCGAAGGGTTGCGCATCCTGCGATACGTGTGTTCGGATGTTTGGACGATGCATGGAATATCATTGCTGTTCAAAGCTGTTAGCATTTTAGCCATTTCCTCACGAACCGTAAATCTCCTTTCGCCTAAAGGTGTGAAAAGTCGAAACAAACAATCAGCCCAGTTGGCAAAGGGCTTGAAATCTTCAAAAAATCCATGAAGAGATGGAATGAGACCTTTGAAGGTTTTCAACCTTTCCCAAATTTGGGACCTCTCGTCTTCGTTAAACTGACTGAACACCTGGCCACTGAATAATAATCCCTGGATGTCTGAGATTTCAATGCATGGCGCCATTTGTTGCAATTCTTCCACCGTCTTTCGGTCAATCCTGGTTATTGATGATATCTCACCATTTACCCAAGAGTACCAGGAATTTTTTATATACCCCAAATAATTTACCACTTCCTGTGATAGTCAGCCTAGAAAGCGGATCAAGAAAAGTGAAATTTACCTGACGACACTTTTTCCCTAAAACATCATTGAGTTTGCTCAGGCTCATAAAGTCCCGCTGACCGGGTATACTCAGAACATCGAAAAAGGCTTTTCGTACTTCTGGTACTTTATTTAGCTGAGCCAGACGCCTTTTACTATTCTCAGAAAGACGCGCTTTCCACCGAAGCTCCCCATGAAGGTCGCCATGGAAATCGTACTGTCTCATCTTCCACATGATTTCCCCTTCACTAGGTTTCTTTTCATTAGAATATTCATCAACAAGAGTTCTTTTGAGGTCATCGCCGATGTCTGGAACAAATATCAGAATCGACTAGTGCCCACATCTCTTCAACACATACCAGACAAATAGAGATCAACGGCCCAAAAGCGATGAGGGTGCTGCAAACATTCCAGGCCAGCTGTAACACGATGGAACCCGTGAAGCCCTTGGACTTGGCCAGACTGGAAGTCCAAACAGGGAATGTTCGCTTCTGACTTGGCCAACAATGCTGAGGCATTGACATTGGCTTCTTGTAAGGCGGACTTTAGATGGTTAGAGGAAACGATAGCCGGAATTCGATGCTGTAAAGCCAGATTTTGACACCCTTCCTCTCCAAAGATCCTGCGAAGACGTTCCACGTTTTGTCTATCCAGTTGCCGCGCATATCGAGCATCGAAATATATTTTATCCAGCCTAATCTTTGCCGTTCCCTGATATTTCAGACTTCTCTCGGTAGCTAAATGGATTTCACGGGGAGTGAATTGAGCCATGCTAGAGAAAAATCCTGTAAGAATAGAATTATACAAACATGTTGTGCCCAGAGCGACATACTTTATTAGCAACCCGAGGCCCAGATGTGGAGTTAATTCTAGAAAAGCCCATATAATAACCTAACGGATTATACATACCACCACATTGCCGAACTTCCGCCAGTACTCGAAATGTCCTCGCAGCCACAAAACAGATTCACCCAGTTTGATACTAACGAACTCCGAAGACTAGTACAGGGCAGAAAAGCCAGTGCTCATAAAAGATCTTCCAAGAAAAAAGGAAACAAATATCCAAATGTTGAACGGGCTCTTCCTATTACGAAAAAAAAGGAAATAGAGGCAAAGGCCAAAGCAGAGCCTCCGAAAAAAATAGTTTGTGACACTAAAAAAGTTCCGGCTCCGGAAAGTTTGCCCCAAGCCGATCAAAACTTGAACAGTACCATAGATATTCGTCAGGAGTCCCCTTGGAAGACATTTGCAAAGGTATACGAATGCAAATTAGCAGGAGAGTTTTTGGTGGCTCGTGCACTTGTTCGCCCTTCACGCTTGGTCGCACTCAGGGAGGTTGACGCACAATGCAGGAGCGCAGTGTTGCACATCTTGAATATTATTCATCATCCAAATATCATATCCTTTCAGCAAGGGTTCTTGTATCAGGATTTACTTTTTTTGGTACATTATGATATCCCTATCACATTAGAAAACATAGCTGCCTGCGAAGCCTATCTAAACGAGACCCAGCTTTCCGTGATTTTGGTCCAAGTAAGTCAACATTAGACACTATGGCCACTTCTAATATTGCTACCAGGTGCTCGATGGGCTATTATGTCTTGAGAAACATCAAATTAGGCACAATGGGTTAATCCTTTCCAACATTTTGGTAACTCAACAAGGGCAGATAAAAATTGGTGAAGAATTTCCATTCTACGAAGATAAGAGTTGGCTTCTAACAATACTTCAGCTCGGCTTGAGGAGTGTGTTCAATTGAACCCCGAACAGATTGTCAATTATTGCGAGTCTTTGGCTGCTATCACCATGAAGTTAATGCAGAAATATGAGAGCAAGGATGCCATTGGCGTGGATGATACCCACCGGTGGCCTCTCAGCTCTCCTGCAGTAAATTTCCTTTCCTCGCTTTCATCTACGGGGTCCCTTAGACATCTTCGGGAAGTACGTACTTATTGCTACGATTTAATACAAACTTACCCTCTGACCTAGTTAGCATGACCTTTTTACCTACAATTCGTGTGACAAAGGATCCATTCTTGGGCTAATTTCTTTTGCACAACGCACATCGTTTACCTGGTGCTCCTCATATGTAGAATAGAACAGGATGCAGAAGATGCTGAATCGTCAATGATTCCAATCTGTCCACTTTTTCTGTCGATGCGGCCGAAGGGTACGGTATGGCGGTACGAGTACAGAGGACTTACTATATTCTGCATAGCTGGACTTCGGTGAGGCCAGCTGGCAGTTGAAGGCGAGCAGTTGGACCGTGGGGGTCTGGGGAAGACGGTCACACCTCTCCTTTTGTTTCTCCTTTGTCATTACTTTATTCTACTTTGGTCATGTGCTCTGGTCCAAACCAGACACTATGACTACTACTTTGGGCTCTGGGAGTCATTCTTTCGACTGTCAGGCAGGCCTGACAGCACTCCCGCATAGCGGCTGTATCTAAAGCAAGCTACATCGGGCAAATGAACTATTGATTGATTGATTGATTGATTATTTGTCAAAGTATTGCAACCATTGATATGCGCGGACCTAAATAATCAACTAATCAACTAATCAACTAATCAACTAATCAACTAATCAACTAATCAACTAATCAACTAATGAACTAATGAACTAATTGATTGATTGATTACTTACTTACCTCATTATTCCACCCTGTCTCTGGCGTCGCAATGATATAATCATGTGGCAAATCTGGCTGGTTCTTAAACCAACTCTCAAGATGGACTGTGCCTGCGAATAGGATCATTGGGGCCATCAACCATCCATCTGCTGCAATGCATTCGAGTGCGGTTACTGTTTCCGCAATTTCAACTGTTGGTATAGGCCTTGCACGATCACTATGCCGAGTTGCGACGCGCTGTGATTTTCCCTGGTCTAGTTGGAAGCCAGTTTCGTCAACATGGTAGATATTCTTTGGTGTAGCACCACATCTAAGCGATGGACAACATAAGGTAATCGCTCTGCGACCATTCGCTCTGCTTCCATGATTTTCTGGGTAGTAGGAATATAGTCGTTGGGGTGGCGTTTTAGAAATCTGTAGGCCCAATTTGGTCCGAGGCGTCGTATAGAACCACTCCGCTCTAGTATTTGATTTGCTGTAGCCTCAACGTCTCTTGTGGTTGGTAGAAGATTTGCACGATAAAGAAGATCTATCCAGCTAGTCAATGCCTGCTCTTGAGCTTGATCGAGACATTTGTTAGGCCCTTGACGCGCCGAACGAGATGTGCGATCATGAACGCGTCGTGCGAGTCGTTGGTAATCAACCTGAAATTCCCGCGCGATCGCTGCGATTTTAGGCTTGCCAAGATCACGGTAGGCTTGTAAGGTCTCCTGTATGAGCTCCTGGCTTTCGTCGGATTTTTTAGGCATTGTGGTGGTTGGTAAGAGCTTCAGAAGTTGGTGGGTGGAAGAAAAATTTTCATTAGACTGAAATTTCATTAGGCTGGGGAGGGCCCACAACGGCGCAGCTTTGGGGGTCTGACTTTAGGGGGCGATTATATCCCAAACCGTGTTCTTCCAAGGTAAGTGACGTATTGGAGCTTTTAGTAAGAAATCAATAGCGATACTACAGTATTCGAAAATGTTTCTTATCCTCTTACTCTGGTTGGAATTCTAGTTCAGTCAGGGATACATTTTTCTTCAACAGGCTGCGAACAATGCCACGTAATTTATCCCGAACCTCATTGTTTGCGGAAACTAAGAAATCAGTATGTCGTCTTTGATTGGGGACCTGGACACACCCATAACGAGAATTTTCCGATATTCTTCTTCAACATTCGTGATGGTCTCGTTCAAATCACCAGCTATCTCGTTCCTTATGATATCGGTGTATTTTGCACTACCTGTTCTCCAAAACCCACACTCATGTTTTCCAATGGGACGGTCCCCCATGACGCCGGACTGGTCATATATTGATGCCGTAAATATCTGGCTTCTTAGTACATCTCTTGAGAAATTCAGGCTGGGGACAGTACATAACGATTTGGGGACGTGTCACGTTTTAGTAAGTCGTTGATCATCTCGACAGCAGGAATCACAGCCATATCTTCACAATGAGTAACTGCTTGCCAAGTAACGTCAGAACGGCTTACCAGGTTCTTGTATTTGCCACACTAAATGAACACGCTTCGTACAGGAGAGCGCATTAAAACTATAAAGGATTTTTTGAACGTATGGAATTACGGCTGCAATTCCAGCACCAGTGGCGATAAGTATAGTGCTCGTATAATGATTGATGGGCTTGTTGATGCCATGGGGCCCAGTAACAGCTCCAAAGAGTGAGAAACATCTATCCAAATTCGCCTGAGCTCGTTGAATTATCTGCCATGATAGCCCCCGCTGTCCTTTGATGTACAATACCAATTCTCTTTCAGGTTTAGGGGACCACGAAGTGACCATAAAAGGGTGGGTTTGCGTCCATGATACCAGGTTCAGCGTTGGCATCCAAACATTTACGTACTGTCCAGCATCGACTTTCATTGGACGAGGCAGTAAGATACGTACAATGACTGCATTTCCTTCTTTTCTGGAAACGTATCTATCTCGATCTTCAGGGTGCGACGAACGATCGTGTAGACCTGAGACTATTACAGGGTTCTGGATATAGACCCTACAATGTCCTTTAGATGTAAGATGCCAGTTTCGGAAAACCAAGCGCATAAGTTCAAATAACGATGCTAAGGTAAACAATCCAAGAGACCCAAGTATGCAATATTTTGCAAGAGGTTGCCCAGCTGACACGTGCGTCCAGATAGCAAAGAGAAGGAAAGCGGCTAAGAATTGATGGGCTCGCAGCAAAAATTCGTAGACCACTAGACGAAAGGGAGTGGTAAAAAGCACGGCTATGACGGCAGTTGATATTAAACCCTAAACGAAGTTAGCCATATTCACGATAGAAAATTTGAACTCACAGTCATAATACAGACATTTTCAATTTTCTTCAGAGAAAATGCCGCCTGGTTGATAAGTGATGTTACAAAAAGATGGAGCACGATCAGAAAAAAGGACGTGCAACCTATCAGACCATGCATCCTTCGACATGTGCGAACCGAAACTCCCATAATATCCGCAAGGAGACTTAAGTGTGGTGAAGCGAAAAGAAAAATCATGTTTACTACTGCCAGTTGTCCGGCTCGATAACCGATTTCTCGACCATTTGGAACCGAGAACACTAGGCAAAATATGTTCCCACCTAAATAAACAAGGTACGAAGCAATTCCAATAGGTGTCCATGGGCCGATAAGACGATGTCGACGGACAAGGTAAGGATATATCAGATACCTCGATACATAAATAGAGAAGGCTGACGAAGCGCAGCGATGGACTCTAAAGATGAAGAGTAAAAGACTTACACAGCCCATTGCGGCAGCATAGCATTCTGTAATGTTCATGATGAAGCAGCAGAAATTACTCAGATAGGAGACTACCTCTACATATAAACACTGCAAATAGCAGACAGGAATTCATACAATTGCCCATTGTTTAAACTAAGTAGGAAAAATCTCTACTCTCTGCTACAGGGCTTTTATGGGCGTTGAACTTTAAGAAACTCAACATGAAGAAACGACATTCCAATAACATTTCGAATATTGATATTTCCTTTTCATGTCTTTACGCTTCAGGCAGTTGAGTAAATACCTTAACCTCATTTTCCAGGGTTTCCGCTTCCAGGTAGATATTTCAGGGTTTTATTTTGTAGAAGCTATTAACTGGGGGAGATAGAGGTTAGCTGTTTCCAAAATCTTCTGCCTCCCTTTTTCGTA